TATATATATATATATATATATATATATATATATATATATATATTTCCAATAGGTAGACTTAATCGATAAGTCATGCTACAATCTTATTAAAATAGGAATTGTGGGTAACAATAACATTATTAAAATAGAAAAAGTCTATTATCTAGGAACTACCGACTCTTATCTTCAACCAAACGTCATTGATGAATATACAACAGTTATTTCTGAGGTCTTTGGTATTCATGAATTTTCAAGGGACCTCATTACTAACGAGTTTACGAGGAAATTGATCCCTTTTACCTACGACTCTTAGAAAATTTTCACTTGATCATCATCACAAGACATAGATATCCATGACSAAAAATCAATACAATTAGGTTTTCTTAAATAGATAGCTCAAATGACTCCCATTTTCATGTATAAATTGTGCACAGTATGCATATAACGAAATATTTAGCGAGTAAAATCAAATTTATAAAATTGTATTTGATCATAAAATAACGTTCATATATTCAGTAGCGACCCAGGAGAAGGGGAATATCTCCTTGAAGCTCTACAGTGGTGACTCCAACTCAGTCGTCCTTATCGCCACAGTTGCACAAAATRCCCACTCCACCTCCCGCTTGGTCGTAAGCGTTGGCAACTCTGCCTCTCGTGCTCTGTGTTGAGAAGAGTTTCGATATATAGAAGCAATAATGCAAGATTCTTGGTTTCAATGTGAATTTAAGGTTTTCAATTTGATTATTTGATGTCACCTTTCCTCGGTTTCAGTAAAAAAGTTAAGTACCGGCAACCCCAATTTAAGAAGATTTTTTTTTTTGCTCATTCAACGGTTGAGGTTAGCGAAGGGGCCTGAGATGAAAACCAAAACTTTGTCTTGTATTTGGACAAAGTCATCACATCCCTTTAGCAACTGAGCTACACACACCAGAGGTTTTCCTCCATATTTAGACAAAAAGTTAATTACCAGCAACCCCAACCTGACTCATACAAAACCCGCCTTCGAAAACACCCGTATGAAACGACATTTTTGGCCCACTCAGTAGCTGATGCTGATGGGTCCTCGAGATCAAATCATGGACCACCTACAAGATGTGATGAAACAAATATACATACATTTATGTACAAACATACCCCCAATCACATGTTCATTTGTTTGTTATGAAAATGGTAAAAACAACATATGACTACTCAAAGAGCCTATACAAATCCAAGCAACTACAAATGGAAACCTGAACTCTATGCCACTATATGCCACGTGTACAAACCTACAAGTTATCATCAAGATTCAACACCCACACTCTGATCACCTGCCATTGTTGTTCAGTGATCCAGAACCGATCGACATCCCAACTGTCGATCCAAGAAACACCACGTAAATCGCCATCAACCCTATCCCGAACCGCCTGCTCGGCTGCATCCCGTTTCTCGGCAGCATCACCAGCGACCAAACCAGTCCCACAACCAGAAACCCGATGTTACAAAACAGCCCGATATCGCCGGCCATCGTGTACGATACGGGTCGGTTCGACCATGATCCGATTAACATACAAATCCCCAAACCAGCAAGTATGTTGAACATCGGCCCTGCATAGCATCCAGAAATCGCGATCTGCACCCCTTCGCCGCCGCTCACCGCCAATGCGACATTTGACATCAGGTCGCCCATCGAGTTACCCCATGCCAATACGGTTAGTCCGAGGATCGATGGGTTGATTCCGAATATGAGACCGAATGTGACCAATAATGCGACTAGCTCGTTAGCGATCATGTAGAACCAGATGATGCTCATAAAAAACCCGCCAAGAAGCCATGGAAGTAGCCACTTTTGTGGTGGATGGTTCCATTTGGTGCAGATAAATGCAACACAACCGAGCACACAGCCGATCACGGCGCAGGCCGAGTAGATTAGCCCGGAAACTAATCGGGTTCCATCGTGTTGGGTGTTCCAAAGAAGTGCTAGAAGCAATGGCGCAAATGTGACACTAGCCACCGCGTAACCTTTTGACCATCGGCCCTCGTCGATGATCGGAATGGTTAACCTCCGTGGTAGCGCCAACGGGAATTCTAACCATCCTAACAACTTAAAACACGAAAACGACGAGTTTTCGTTATCGTTTTCCGTTTCCGCACCTTTCCATCCCCAGAGAGGGTGGTCCGTGCCATCTTCGGTCCCATGTCCAACCACGTCTGAATAAATCGCAACATTTGAACCCCACATCCATTGCGGAACAACCTTCGATTCCACAAGTTGTGGAACATCATCCGACTCAGTAAACGACACGTCCAACGATTCTTGATCTCGATTCTCCATACCTCCCATTCGAGCAACCGCTAACAGCGGCACGAACGTATCTCCTTTCAAAACCCCATCATCTTTCCGTCTAAAAGACTCGTTAGCCGCAATCAAGGAAGCGTAAACAACATAAATTGAAACAAACGCGATCGCTCCACCGACACTAACCTCTCCAATAAACAAGATAACACCAAGAGAAACAACAGCAAACAGAAACATAGATACATCCCTAATGAAACATTTCTTATCGATACTAACAAGCTGATCAGCCACACAGATAGAAATCGTCCCTACAACAACACAAGTCACAAAAATGGCACCACCCAGAATGCTATTAAGTCCAACATCGCCATTATCAGTGCCTGCAAAAGCTGCAATACTCGCAAACACATCGGGGGCACCATTCCCTAATGGAAGCAAGGTGACCCCTGCTACAGTTGGGGGCAATCGCAATAAATGTGACAACTTTTCAAGAGAACAACAGAAGTAATCTGCAGCTGTGTTGCCCAGAAGATAAAAGAGAGCAGCCAACCAAATAAAAAGCAAAATGTAACCAAGAAAAGCATGGTTTTGGCAAGAACAGTAGAAGAAGGTTAAGTAATTGAAGAACCCATCAGAATCACATTGAGGAAAAGCGATTAAGAACTCACATTCGCTTGCGTAACCTTCGTGTCGACTTAATCCAGTGCAATCAGGTGGGGTTGTGATACCCAAGTTTCGTGGAGTACCACTGTTTAACCCGACCCGATTGGCACCACTGTGGTTCCATGTATGGGTGTTCTGGTGAAAGCAGAATACGATAAATACAAGTGTGAATACACCATGTAAAGAACCACGCAAATTGAAGGGGATCTGATGGGGAATTCTATTCAATTTCAAGTGGGTGTCCATCTACAAGAAACAAGAAAACCTGATTCTACGATCTTGGTTTCTTTTTCTTTTGTTCGAGTATGGAGATCAAGAAAGAATGAATTGAAACATGGATTATGATGAATGGGTATCATCAAGAACACAGATTCAGAGAAGAAACCATCTGATTCGAAGAGGGTTTCAATTCTCAGAGCTTATTCAAATGGGTATCGAAGATGATGGAAGCAAAAACAGAAAAATTACGAGAAATTGGGAGGGATTTAGGGTTGAAGATGATCGTGATGGGGGTGATGACTTGTGTTTTGGTTTATGTGAAAAGTGTGGAGTCGATTGGAGTGGTTCAGTTTTCATGGGAAGGTATAATTTGGGGATGGACGTGTGGTTTTGTCATGGTCGGCAGACCAAGGGGTATAACCGGTACATGATTTCCCAATCATTTGTAATTTTGGATATGTCTTTAGAAAAGGGAAAAGAAAACAAAATTCATAAAGAAAAAGAGTAAAGTTGATATATGGTATATATACATCTTTCGTAATACACCAAGATACATCTTGATTTTAATATTTCGTTTTATTCTATGTTTGTTAATGTTATAATACGATTTTATATGATACTGAAAAAACGATAATGTTTTTTAATAACATATAAATTTTAAGGATTCATAAAAATTTTAAAAAAAAATTATCCATTTTAGTATCAAATTAAATATTTAAATGTTTTTTTTTTAATTTTTTTAATTTAATTTTTTATTATAATTTAATTTAGAATTCAGAATGAAGTCATTTGTTTTTTATTTAATAATATAATTCTTTTATTAATTAGTATTTTGTTACAATTCAATGATTATCTTAAATATATTTTAGATTTTTCATATTTAAAATGAGATACATATCCAGTATTTGGTTATGTTTATCTGCAGTTAGTTACACGAATTCAAACATGGAGCTGTAATAAGTTGTACATACGTACGATTTACTCGTAATTTTGAATTTTAATTAATATGCATCAATAAACAGTACTTAACGCATAAAAATAGTTTTTAAAAGTTTTTGTCAAATGTTTTATAATATAGTATAGATTATGTTTCAAATAAGTTCATTAATTACATATTTTAGCCCTCATGATTTGTATCTTATTATGGATATAGTTTTTGACATTAATTTAGTTAAAATTTTATGTTAAATCAAATATCGTCATGTGTCTTTCTTTTTCCTCACCGTCCTTCCTTTTTTTGTATTATGCTATTCTAGGAATCAATTCGGCAATCCACTTGCAAACCCTTTTTTGCTTTTGCATTCCCATTCAAAACACCGACTCTCATTTTCTCACTGATGTCGGTCTATCTGAATATGTCGAGATAAATCTCTATGAGCGGAGATGGGATTCCAAATTCGAAGGAGATGGTTATAAGAGGAAGGTGGGGATGATTGTGGTTGTAACAAAAATACTCCTGTGTTAGATTGATATTTTTAATGGACTTCACGAACGACCAAATCTATATTAAAATGCAATATTTATAAAATTTCTAGTCTTTTTTAATTCTTATTTTGCTGAAGCAACTCTTAAAACATTCATTTTGAAAAAACCAGTGTCCAAAACTTTAAAAGTTGGTTCTTCAAAATAGGAATCAAGACAAAGTTTGATATGGATTACTATGAATTGCTGAAAGCGGAAAGAAATTCATCAAACATAAAGCGAATTTACAGTATCATCACCGCAGTAGAGTTTAACTTGTTTTCAAACTTCTTTTATCATGGCTTTAAATCCGAACTTTTATTTGAGCAAATTGGTTCCACTTTTATTCCGTATTTGTCTTGATATAAATATAATGTCCTTTTGATCAAACTTCATTTTAATATTTACAAAGTTGTATGCATTATATGAACAGAAAGCAACCATCTGGGATCATTCAGAACAGCTGGCTCCGACCAACAAAAATTAGGCGTTTTGAGTATTTGATTTGATATGTGGTTTAAACATAGCTTAATCTAATTCATTTATATAAAAGTAAGTCGATTTGAGTTATATTTTGTTGTTAATCCCGATCAAACAAATATTTATAACATCTAATAATGTTTTATATAAGATAAATTGAATGCGTTATAATAACAGTTTGTATAACCACAAGGGTTATGGCGTAATAGTTGCGGCTCCGGGGGACGTGGTGGAATATAATCCATCTGCCTTGGGTTCGATTCCAGGCGTCCACCATAATTGTAAAACTGAGTTTATCAAGGTTGCTGTCTTACAGTCACAGTTTGTAGGGATTAATCTGGATATAGCCTGGACACCCTATAAAAAACCAATTTGTAGCATATTAATTATTTAATGATAAAAATACACAAGCTTAATTGGAGGCGACCAACCCATTCACATATGAATGTGAAACGAGGGTTTGATACAGACAAAAAGTTAACATCAATTGTAACCCAAATGAATATGGAAATATCGTTTTAGCATCTTTTTGATCCAAAATAGTTAAGAGTTCACTAACAAGTACCAAAGCACCACTACTTATTGATTTCTGAAAACTACTGAGCTAAAAACCTAACCAACTAGTTGTATTGTCATTGATGACAACAGACGACGTTGATGATGAACGTGAAAATGACAAGCAATGTGGTAAAAACTAACAACCCACCACCTACAACGATTGACTGATGGTGTCTGATGACCTTAAAATCGCCCTAAAGAACCTATAAACCTACGAAAAACTCATGCTCAACAGCTCAAACCCTTTGGCGTGTAGCTCAAATGTGAAACACCTTGGTTTTGCACCCCATAGGTCACCAACTTAAATCCCCCTTAAGCCACCGTTGAGTACTAATCACGTGATAACACGTCATTAGATAGAATTAAAACATACGTTAAATAAAATCATTATGACAAAGACAGGGATAAGATTTGGGATATGGGATTTTTATTCACACACATGTAATCCCAGTTGCTTTGGGACCGACTTGCATGGATATTTTGGAAGTTTTCAAAGTGGTCCAGTATACTGATTTCTTTCTCTCTTTATCCTTTAGAAGATTATAGGATTTTCTCTCTTATTCACCTTGCAGAACCCACCAATTCAAGTTGAGTTATGGAGTATGGTATTATTACAGCAAGCATTATTCTTGTTTCTGCAATTGCAATTGCACTTCAAGTGTTCTTCTTCTCTCCAATATCTCCAGAGCCACTGATATTACCTCCTTCACCACCCCTTTTCACCCCTAACAACCATTTACAGGTGAGCTTCCTAATCAAACTTTCTTGTTACTGTGTGTTTTTCTAAAGGTGGTTTCTTTACAGGGAGTGATTAAGATTGGGGAAGGGATAGTGAAGAAACCAGAAGATGTGTGTGTGGACCAAAAGGGTATGCTTTACACAGCTACCAGAGATGGGTGGATCAAAAGATTGCATACAAATGGAACCTGGGAGAACTGGAAAAAGATACATAACAAAGATACTTTACTTGGTTTGATAATCACAAGGGTTGGTGATCTAGTTGTGTGTGACACTGAAGAGGTACTCTTTTAAAATTGTTTTTTTGGGCCAGAACCTGACTTAGGTAACGTTTGCGTACATCCTACCCCCACCCTATCTCCGTGTAGATCTATTGGGTTTGCTTAGTTTGGTTTTTGGGACAGAACTTGACATAGGTAAGATCTGCGTACATCCTACCCCCCCCCCCACCCTATCCTCAGTGGGGATATATTGGGTTTGTTTGGTCTAGTCTTTTGGGCCAGAACTTGACATAGGTAAAGTCTGCGTACGTCCTACCCTCCGCCCTGTCTTCGGGTAGGATATATTGGGTTTGTTTGGTCTAGTCTTTTGGGCCAGAACTTGACATAGGTAAAGTCTGCGTACGTCCTACCCTCCGCCCTGTCTTCGGGTAGGATATATTGGGTTTGTTTGGTTTGATTTTTTGAGCCAGAACTTGACTAGGATGAAACTTGATGTGATGGTGCAGGGTTTGATTAAGGTTGGTGAAGATGGTGAAGTGACAGCTTTAGCAACTCATTTGAATGGTGAGAAAATAAGGTATAAGTCGAGTGATGTAGATCTCATGTGTTCTTGGGTTCAAGAATTTGTATTTTACATTTCTGTGTACAACACCAGGTTTGCAGATGATGTTGTGGAAGCAGATGATGGTAGCTTATACTTCAGTGTTGCTAGCACTAAATTTGAGTTGCATAACTGGCACCTGGATGTGCTGGAGGCAAAACCCCATGGTCAGCTTCTCAAATATGACCCATCCACAAAGGAAACATCATTAGTGCTAGACGGGCTAGGCTTCGCAAATGGTGTGACCATCTCTTCGGACCAAGAGTTTTTGGTCGTATGTGAAACATGGAAGTGAGTGAAAATGGCAAACAAACCTACAAGATATGTGCAAATCTAAAGAAGGAAACAAAAATAAAAGTCAAGAGATGAACTAACCTCATTTTCTTTGGACTCTCTGAATCAGATTTAGGTGCCTCAAGTACTGGCTAAAAGAGGAAATGGGAGGGAAAGTTGACGTTTTTATCGACAATCTTCCTGGTGGACCAGACAACATCAAACTTGCTCCTGATGGATCATTTTGGATAGCTATACTTCCGGTATTTAGATAATCTGTGTTTCTAATAAAGAAAAAAAATATAACTTTGTGATTAGAAGCTAACCAAAAGAGTTACCTGATGCAGTTGACTTCGAGCAGGATGAAATTTATACATTCTTCCAGAGCAATTAAACATCTTCTGGCAACATTTCCAAAGCTGTTCGAGCAAGTTAAAGTGCTTGACAGAAGTGCAATGGTAATAAATGTGGGGAGTGATGGAAGGATTATCAAGAGATTGGATGATCCTAATGGACAGGTAATGGCCTTTGTTACATCGATCCTGGAGTTCGAGGGAAATCTTTACTTTGGAAGTTTGTATAATGATTTCATAGGCAAGTTGCCAATTGAAACTGCATCCTGAATGGCTTCACGGGAGGGTTTTTATCATAAGGCTATCCTTCGATAACTACATTTAGGCGATTGTGATCTTTAAATGTAAAAGAAACCCTCAAACAAAGCAGTAATGATGTAATATGAACAAGTATGACTATTAAGATGAATATTACTTGAGAAAAAGAAAAASAAAAACAAACCCATTTTTGGCAACTTCAAAAAGTTCCAAAAGTACCATCGATCATCCATCATTCTTGTAAATTGATTTGCATACAGATGGGAAATATGTAGTGTGGACCTTACCATTGACTGGCATACAGATGGCAAGAATATGCATACCATAACAAAGATTGAAATCAGTTAGAGTTCAGACTACTGAAGTCTGCTTCTTTTATCCGGTTGCTTATTAACTCCATATGGTGATTCTCTTTTCAATTTTGATGGTTTGCCATCTTTGCTTCCTTTTTTGTTGATAAATTCGGAGAAAGATGGGATTGGCGGCAACTTTATATCATTGCAAGTGCTCAGTGAAGGACTTGAAGGGTCTCCCGATTTAAAATTTCCATCATCTTTTTCCTTCCTCATCTTTGTTGCCTGATCTGAGACAGGCGGTGATATTGAAGAGGAAGGTTCTACTTCTGTTGCATTTTTTGAAGCAGGACTCTGGTGGGTGGCGGCAAGTCGGGATGTTAGGTCTGCCGCGGTAGCAGTAGAAAGCCACCTCACAGTACTTGCCACTTGTGATAAATAAAACGATTTCCCAGTTTTCCCGTATTTTTTGTAGCATTCATTCTCGAAGAACATGGAAGATGTTTCAGGGTCTATTCTGCACATCAGGCATAACAAAGAGATTTTAGAACACCAAAAGAGAACATAAATATACGTTTTAAATTAGAAACCGGCCTCATTTGACAGCAAAATAGAAAGAGAGTGGGTGGGATTCATACGGCAAGTTGTGGAGCCGCTGCTGCATTTGCTTTACTGCATTGAGCAATCTTTGCTTGCAGGACTCCCTCGTCATTTCACTTATGGCATTTTTATCGAGTTTATTGCTCTGTTAGCAGCAGGTCAAAGGTTAGAGACTCCCCTAGTAATACGCTTACTGAAGAACAAGAAAATCGATCTCTTTGAAAATATACTAATATCAGATTTTCTTTTATAATCTCTCTACACAGAGTAGACAAAACTATCTCAAAGATGCAGACCTCTCCTAAATGGATAAGGTGGGCGAAACCGCCGCGAATTACCTGTTTATCCTTCTGATAATATTTCTCTTCTGCTTTTTGCAACAACTCGATCTTCTCACTAATTTTGGATTTGGAAGGCAAGCCTTCCACAATATTTATATCATCTGGAAGTTAAATGATTCAATTTAGGTTAACAAACAAACTCGATGTATCCCACCCGGAAGTAGGGTGTGGGGAGTAAGATATAAATGTGTACCATCGTCATCAGATATATCGTCCTCAGACACAATCACTTCATCATCACGAGACCAGAATTCTGAGAATTCTACTTCACCAATCGACTTTGAGGAGCTGAGATGGAACAAATATGCATGAGAATTATTCATAAAATATATCAGTTGGGTATATTCTGTATGAAAGAAAGAGCTTTTTAACCAAAACTATTACCTCAGAAATGAAAACATAAAATAGAGGAAGAAAGACAGATAAACTATGCTTATTTATGCAAGTATAGAACAGCTTATCAGTCATTTTTTTTTGTAAGGGTGTCCGGGCCAAAGCCCGACTAATCCCCGGCAATTTTGGAGGCTAAACATGGCACCACTTAAATGTCGCCAACAATCCCTTTCCAGGGTTCGAACTCGGGTTCATGACTATGTCATGCCCAAGCCTTTACCACTAGGCTGGAAGGTCTTTGACTTATCATTTTTGTGGTCAATAAACTTGAAGCTTCCACAAATTTTGAGGGTAAGCTATATCTAAATCTCCATCTTATACATCACTTTTGGGGAATTTCTCGACACTTGGAAACCACATACCTGTTCATATATATCTGTGAGGATCCATTTCTATTACGAAGAGAACACATGGTCTTAAGCTCCTCCAAGTACTTCTCCACTAGGTTTGGATCTTTGCATGCATCACATGTTTTCTTACACAGTGATGATGATACCTACTTCCCAAGAATGTTATGTAAGATTGCTACACTTGAATATGATATATATATATACACATATTATATGACATAGATTCAATTACCTGTTCCCCAAAACTGTCAAGAATCTTTTTCCTACGACAACCAGATGTTTCGCAATACTCAACCATCTGCGTTTATTAAACCATGCACTCAAGTTTTGTAAACATTATTAATGAGGTAATTCTATACACAGATACAAGCTTACCGAATTGAATTCAGCAACTGACTTCTTTGGGGAGACGTCCTGCAAACTTGAGGATTGCAACTTCTTGCTCTCCGCATTATTCAATATAAATTGCTACAAACATCTTACAGAGGACTTCAGTATAACGTGAATAGTAGCAAGGAATGATAAAAACCCGACAAAGATTTAATCAAACCATTTTCTTGCGGTCATCGATTCCGTAGTACAAAACACTTCTAGAGGGCTGTTGATCGCGACCAGCTCTACCTGATTCTTGATAAAAGGATACCATTGACTTGGGAATATTGAAATGGCAAACAATCCTAACATCCTTCCGGTCTATACCCTAATATTATTGTGCATGACTTGTTAGTCAATACGTATATCTGAAGAAAAATTTCCATCAATCAAAAGCATTATATTAGTAGAAGATTAGCATACCATCCTGAAGGCACATCACCGTCTCATTAGATTAAGTTGCACCAGAAATGTTCCAAGCCAATAACCACCATGAAGAAAGAAAAGGAATCAGATATGAACGGAAACTTCCGCTTATTTGTATGCTTTAATTGTAACAGTAAAACAATTTGCATTAACGTAATTATAATGGCTGAAGGCTGCTTTTTCCATAATCCAGATGCAGCATGTATTCTAGTGCAGTGCTTATATCTCCATTGTCCACAAAAAAGATAACCCTATTCCTAACATCTGAACACAAATAATTACCCTTACCCAAAAGCCACTGTAGCCACTACAACTTGTGTCTTGGCAGAAATCCAATCATCCAATACAGAACTCCGCAGTTTATTGTTCAACCCCGCATGATATGCTGAAAGCAAATAAAATAAAAAGCATGTTTGTGAGGAACACTACAAAATTAAGTCAAAGAAAGATGAATAACAACTCGATACCAGCACAAGAAATGCCATTTTTTGATAAATGAGAAGCCAGATCATCGCATGTTGCACGTTCAAGGCAGTAGACAATCCCACAGACATCTCCGCAAGATTTAATTAGATCAGTCAGATCAACATATGGGTCGCTAAGAAGGTCTTTAAATCGAACTGTAGAACATCATTAGAAAATTTAGTCAGTGGCATGCATTCCAACCCAAGTGAAAAGCAAATCATCTGATAGTGCTTGTTGCATTGTTACAAAGTAACCGATGCGAAACAGGCTAGAGGAGAGAAAAGCCATGGTTCTAATATTTTAACAAGCTGCCACAACATATACATTTTCCTTTCCCTTGCATGCATTATTGATCGCACCGCGGGGGGGCCTCAAAACAAATTGAGCAAAAGACAACAAAACAAGCCAAATGGGCCTAACCTTCGTAATATATATTTGGGCGATTAAATGATGATTTCAGGACTAGAGGGTTCTCCATGTTCAAGGACTCTATCACATCCACCTGAACCCTGCATGCAGAAAGGAAATCAGTTTATAGTGTGCAGTTTGTTCTTGTAGTTGAATAAATACAGGAGTCTAGAACGACATTATATGTTTTGTCGAGGTAACATTGGTTCATACATAGTATTTATGTTTTACAGGACAAGGAAATATATTCAGATTTGTACGGATTTTTTCCAAAAAAACCGAAGAAAAAAATTAGTTTGGTCACACGGTAATGCCAACCTTCACTAAAGGTGAGAACAGGAAAGGACTACACAAATTGTAGATATGATGGGTGGGAACTAAATTTATGGGGAGAAGGGTTGAGTTGAGAAGTAGAAGAAAAAAATCAATGAATGACTAAAAGATGGTCAGGAGTTAAAATACTCACTTGGGAACAGCAGTAGCTGTCAGTGCTAACATCGGAATGTCCGGCAGTCGCTTCCTCAAGGAAGCTAATTTTCGGTAGCTAGGTCTGCATTATGGATAGATTTGAATCGAGGACCACAAAAACCAAGACCAATGTACCATTGAGCTCATATGAAGCAACTAAGTACCAACTTGGCAGTTACCTAAAATCATGGCCCCATGTCGAGATGCAATGTGCCTAAAAAATTGAGGAAAATGAATAACCATATACCACAACTCATTGATGAACCAGACATATATATCGTCTGCTATTGACAATAAAAGTTCAAACCTCATCTATTGCAATCAGATTTAACAACCCTCTTGCATGAACTTTGGTCAGCTTCGCCATAAATCCTGTAGTTGCAATTAATTCTGGTGTCACATAGAGCAACCTCATTGCTGGATTTCCAGATTCAAGGTCTCCATGGATCTAAAGATGCCAGAGTTTATACATACATGTACATCAACAACTAAATAAGAAAAATTAAGAAGCTTTCAGATGTGCAATGATATATGTGTGTGTGTGTGCGTGTATTTCAGTGAGGTTGACAATTTAAGATACTAAAGTTAGACATTACCTTATTCCTAACTTGTGAAGTCTGAGTTGAAGAGAGATACTCAGCAGCAACCCCTTTTTCCTTCAATGCCATAACTTGGTTTTCCTGGTGTGAGGATAAATCACAACAATTTGACCTATAACTTTGACAAAAAAAAAAGTATAATTGAGCAAGTAAACAAACTCACCATTAAGGCTGTGATCAAGTAGAACAATGCATTCAAGCAAGTCAGACTCTTAACACTGAGAACCAAAAGAAAACATTGTGTAGTACAAGCTTCCACTATGATAAACATCCAAATTAAGACTAATGCACTTTCACCTATTAAAGGAGAAACAACAAGCACAATGCCTGGTTTTGCTAGTGCAGGGATTTGATAACAAATGGACTTTCCACCACCAGTTGGCATCAAACAAAAACAATCTCTTCCTGCAACAAAAATGAAGTCCAAGTACAATCCAGCTTACTTATCCACCCATGATCCATCATATACCATAAGAAACTTGAAATGGCTAATTTAACAAGTTTCAACAAGCTCAAACACTTTTATTGTGATTAGAAAAACGAATATGAATGTAAAACCTGATAAAACAGCTTCTATGGCTTCCAGTTGCTTTCCTCGAAAATCTGAATGCCCAAAATGCCATCTCAAGAGCTTGACCAAAGCTTCTTTCCCAGAAAATTTCTTCTCCTTGCCACAAATATTTTTCACAGGCAGTAGTCCCTTCTTCATCACCACTGTGTTCCAACAAAAATTGCATTCGTCAACTTATTATAATCAGTTCACCAAGATTCAACTCTAGAATTTCCGACATTAACGAATTTAGAATTCGCGAATGATTAAAGACGGTGCTGAAGTCAGAAATGCGATCTATACGAATCAATTGTTGAAGAAAAAATCAGACATTACACGCAATGATCGATTGACGATGGTGGTATAATAAGAAATAATGAAAGAGAGAAACCTGAAGTGGCAGAGCTTGTCGCCGGAGTTATGGATGGTGGAAATCAGCGTGGGTACGTCAAGGTTTTGTTTAAGCCGGAGAAGCGTAGTCTTAATTGGGGATTTTTTGTGTGAAAAATGGGTATCAAATTCGTAAATTCCACCTCATCATTAATTAAAAGGATAAAATCATTCCACCTCATCAAATGGAACCCTAACCGTCTCATCACAACTCATGATCCTTCTCCTTTCCAAACCTTTGATTTCTATCTAACAAATCATCAGTTCCATTAACCCTTTTCTTTTACCCACCCAATTGACACATTCCTATGCACAGATGTGGAGTTCTTCTTCTCAGACACCTTCCAGCCAAGTGGGTCTCCATCTCCGACGAGTTCTTCTTCTCCGGCCACTGACCCATGTCTATCTATCCCAACTCCATACCATCTCTCTCAGCACGTTTGTAAATGTGGGAATTATCACATCCAGGAATAGAATTACGTCTTTAGTTCTTGGGTTTTTGAATTGCATTATATTCATGTATTATTGTATCTGGTAGTTTATGTTTTTCTTCATGTGATTAGGTTTTTTTTTGTAGGGTTTTGGGTTTTTGAAATGCATGTCTTGATGTTTTGACGATTCTTGTGGTGGCCAGAGAAGATGAACAACGGAGAGGGTTTTGTTGCCGGAAAGGCCAAATAGGAGAAAGGAACAATTTGCTACATAAGTTGTTGACCTGCAAATTGTTTTAATAAATTTTTATATAAATAACCAAATAATAGATTTGTTTATTAAACATATATTAATTATAGATTTTTTAAAATACTGTGTCTTAATAAAAAATAATTTAAAAATTCATTGTTGTAATAAATAAATAAAAAGGTATAGTGTTATAATAATAAAATTATGTTGTTATTTTATACATTTAATCCTATATATACATATATATATATATATATATGACATTATCGAATACATTTAGTATAGAAAAGTCATTGATAAATCAAAAAATCAACCTATTAATATTGGAAGACACAATGATTCAATCAATTAGTTTGTAATTCTAGAACATTGTTCACTATTCTTTTTAAAAATATAATCTATATTTTGTAATTTTGAATGCTACAATTAAAATTAGGAAATAAATATGAAAAATAATCTACATATTGTAATTCTAAATACTATAATAAGCGAATTAAAATTACGATAAATATGAAAAGGAATTAGAAAATGGATACAAATTATTAGAATGGTACCCGTATAATGCAGCCAGCTATATTTTGATTTTAGTGTTTCATTTTATTCTGTCTCCGTCGATGTTATAATACGATCTTATGTGGTACTAAATAAACAATAATGTTTTTATTTTTTTGAATAAATTATAAATTTGAAGGTATAATAAAACTCTGAAAAAAAATGTATCGGTTTTACTATCAAATTAAACATTTTAAAGTTTTTTTTTGTGCAATTTCTTTTATTCCAAATTTTTACTATAATTTAATCTAGATTTAATAATGAAGTCATTTGTTGTTGGTTTAATAATATAATTTTTTTATAAAGATAATAATTAGTATTTTGTTATAATTCAATAATTATCCTAAATATATTTTAGAATTTTTATATTTAAAATGAGATATATATCCGGTATTTGATTATGTTTATCTACAGTTAGTTATACAAATTTAAATATGAAGCTTTAATAAGTTGTATATACGCATAATTTACTTGTAATATTGAATTTTAAGTAATATGTATCAATAAATAGTACTTAATGTATAAAAAATTGGTTTTTAAGAGTTTTTATCAAATGGTCTGTAATATAGTATAGATAATTTATATCTATTCTATATTATAAAACATTTGACAAAAACTCTTAAAAATCATTTTTTATACATTAAGTATTATTTATTGATACATATTACTTAAAATTCAATATTTCAAGTAAATTATGTATAAGTACAACTTATTAAAACTTCATGTTTGAATTCGCGTAACTAACTGCAGATAAACATAATCAATTAGAGAATAAACATCTCATTTTAAAATATAAAAAATCTAAAATATAATTAGGATATCGAGTTCTAACAAAATAATTAATTATTATTTTTATAAGAAAATTATATTATTAAACCAAATATAAATTATTTCGTTATTAAACGTAAATTAAATTATAATAAAAAATTGAATTAGAAAATTACACAAAAAAAATATGAATTTTAAAGAGTTAATTTGATACTGATATCGATTTATTTTTGTCAAATTTTTATAATATCTTCAAATTTATATTTTGTTCAAATATAAAAACATTATCATTTTTTTTAAATTACATAAGATCATGTTATAATATCGATTGAGATAAAAAAATAAAATAAAATATTAAAATTAAAATATATCTTATTGTATTGCGCAAGAACCATCTAATTATTTATAAAGAAAATAAAAAAAAATTGATGGGTCAACGTCCGCGACCCTTTTTCAAACCCTTGAACGAAGATTTTGATTAAAAAAAATTGCTAAAATAACCATTAGAATTCGAAGAGTTTATACCTGAAGATGTAGTAAAAGTTGAAGGACTAATATTGTAAATTTACTATAAATTTGGTTCTTATAGTTTGTCAAAACAACACTTTTCACCCATATAGTTTTAAAATTACAAGATGACCATAGTGTTTTGCAAAGACATTCGGATTTGATCTCTTTATCTAATGACAGTTAAAAAATCCCGTTAAATAATGAACATTTTCATCATTTTATTGATTTTTGTCTTTTACACGAGATTCCAATGATGTGAGGCATCACATGACGGCAAGGTCAAACCTAAATCCTTACAAGTTACAACAAGATCACAATGTTTTTTCTAGACGTGCCTTGAGGCACCATATGCACAAATATTTGTATGTATATACGTATAAACTTGTGTATGCTAGCGTTTTGCATAATCACGTAAAATCTCATGCCTTACAAAATAACGCACCATAACGCTATGTAAGACACAATAACATGTTATAACGTAAGCTAAATCTTAGAGTAGATCCATATGGATCCTCGCCCTCAGCGTCATAATGAGACCATTATAAGTCATTTAGAAACATACTTTTAACCGATCAAAATCGATTTTACGATTCTAGTCCCTATGGTTCTTGATCGCATAAAAAACAAAAACACCATTTTGTTCAACGAGACTTTTTAACGACCGTCAGAAAGAGTAACCAAATCCAAACGTTTTTACAAACCACAGTATCCATCTTGTAATTCCAAAATGTCATTTTGAACAAACTACAAGGACCAAATATGTAATTTACTAAATGGAAAAATAGAAGGATTCCTTTACGGTTAGAAGGATGACACCATATTGGTTTTCATGCATCACAAAAGACCGTTGGATTCCCGTCAGTTTCTCCGGTGGTATCATTGCCAAAACATAGCAGGCCCAAAATCAAGAAGAAGAAGAAGGAGAAAAGCAAAACAAAGCAAAACGAAGCGCACCATAGCTCCTCCGCCTCCGCCCAGAAACCCTATTCTTCTCGCCGTTGACCTATAATAAGTCAACAATGAACGACGATGAGTTCACCACCGGCGTCCAAGATGGGCTCAGGCTAGCAAAACGTATATACTTTGGCAATGACCGTTCTGTGGCACCGCCAAAAACTGTAACGCCAATGGAGAAAGCTTCACGATCGTTATTCCCGACGTCTCCCATGGTTTACGCCGTGATTTCGAATCCGGTGATTGTTGACAACCCTGATATGCCGAGTTATCAGCCTCACGTCCACGGAAGGTGTAATCCGCCGGCGTTGATTCCGCTTCAGATGAACGCGATTTCGTTTGAGGCTGACTGTTATATGGACACGGTGTTCGTCACAATGACTGGTTCCTGGCGGGTTCATTGTGTCATGGGAAATGCCAGCTGCGCTTGTCGTATCGCCATTCCCATGGGGGAAGAGGTAATTTCTTCATTTCAATTTTGAACCCTACCCTCAATTGAAATAGACAATTTGTGAAAATGGCCTTAGCATTTCTGAAATGGATATAATAATGAAGCATTAGTTATATAATTGATAGATTGATTCAGGAAAGGTAGAATTGAAAGAACCCCATTTGTAGGTATGAAATGACTTGAGAAAAACCCTTTTGAGTTGAGGTTTGTAAGGAAGGAGATAACTTATATGCAATTGCGTTTTGCCAAGTTTCTTTGTTGTTCGTAAATAATAGTAGATCATTTGGCTAACAGGGTTCAATTCTAGGTGCGGAGGTTGAAGTACCAAGAAGAACATATTCAACTCAACTAGCTTCAATGGATGAACAAGAGGAGAATAAACAGATTGTAGCCAAACCTGAAGATGGAGGCTATCTGAAACCTCATATCTTTACTTTAACAATACCACAGGTTAAAAGATCTCACACTTTCCCTTTATATATGTGTGTGTGTATATATATATATATATATAGATTATAGAGAGAGGGAGGTTTAGGAGAAAGCCCCCAAAAAATTGAAACAAGAAACACCCTGATAACCCATATGCACATGTGTATACAAATAAGTGAAGTTGTTTCTTGGTTTTTATACACGTGTGCATACCATATAAACTGCTTAGAAATTACTTGTATGCACAGGTGCATACCGTCCAGATAAACTGTTACCAGGATGTTCATCAGTTTTTCATTTTTTTACGGTTTTTTCACCTGGCCCTATATATATAATCAGGTTGAATGTTGTTTCACTTGCATGGCATATTCCAGGTTGATGGTGGTTCAAATCTTTCAATCAAAGTTAGATGGTCACAGAAAATAACCTATAAAGATGGTGAGTTCATACTGAATGTACCTTATAGCTTCCCAGAGTATGTTACCCCTGTCGGAAAGAAACTAGCGAAAAAGGAAATGATACAACTGAACATTAATTCGGGTCTGACTACCGAAGTCGTGTGTAACACAACTAGTCATCCTTTAAAGGTGTAATTTGGATCAATCCTTATTCTTTGATCAATCTTACCATTAAACAGTTAATAGTAACATAGTGAGATGCTTGTACTCCAGGAACGAAAGCGAGAACCAGGGAAGTTGTCTTTCTTGTACGAAGCTAATGTTCTTACATGGTCAAGTACAGATTTTGTCTTCAAATACCATGTAAGATATTACCTTATATTCATCATAGAAAATTGTTTAGATAGATTCTATCAAGTGAAGAGGAAGAGGAAGGTTCAGGGAAAAAACTCCCAAAAAAGAAAAACTTAGGAACACTCTGGTAACCGTTCATCTGGATGGAGTGCATATGTGTATACAAGTAATTAGAGTTGTTTCTTGCTTTTTATGCACATGTGCATACCGGACAAATTGCTTACAAATTACTTGTATGCACATGTACATACCATCCAGATGAACGGTTACTAGAGTGTTCCTCACTTCTTTAATTTTTGCAGGTTCCCCTGAACCTGAACCATCGAATGAAATATGAGTTGTTCTGTGGTGTATTTAACAGTTGAAAATTGTGTTTCAGGTTTCTACAATCAATCCATTTTGTGGTGTTCTTTTGCAATCTCCATCAACACTTGGTATTGATCATAGGGAGATGTTTTCCTTGTGCCTATTTGCAGGACCTGATAAGGGTATAAAGGTTGGTTTTAAATTTGTTTTCTAAAATCTTTTAGCATGTATAGATGACTGTTGCATCTCTTTTTATTATGATTTCATGTAGCTTTTGTTTCCCTCTTTGAGGCTAGTACGTTTCGTTAGAATGCTGATTTTTGCACTTGATATGATAGGTGTGCAGGAAAGAAGTTCTTTATGTTGTTGATATAAGTGAAAGTATGAAGGGGAAGACAATTGAGGCTACAAAGAATGCTCTGGTTGCAGCACTCTCGAAACTTGATCAAGAAGACTCTTTTGGTATAATGGCATTCAATGATCAGACTCACTTATATTCGTCAACCTTAGAGTTAGCAACTAAGGAATCAATCAGAAATGCAACCGAGTGGATTGGCGCGAATTTTGTGGCGGGTGGTGGTACAAACATCTCAATTGCTCTAGATCAGGTTATGTTTATTGGGTTTGTTTGGTTTGGTCTACATCAAATAATCCTAATATGCACTTGAAGGTGTGGGTTTTATTCACTGTGAATATATGGTTTTCAGGCCCTAGAGATGTTATCAAAAACCAGCAAATCTGTTCCAATGGTTTTCTTTGTGACGGATGGAGCTGTTGAAAATGGGAAAGAAATATGCGAAGTTATACAGAAACAACTACGAAACAAAGGATCAGACCTGTGTCCACGCATTAACACATTCGGTATAGGTTCAATCTGCAATCATCACTTCTTGCGAATGCTTGCAATGATCGGCAAAGGCCACCATGATGCTTCTTATGATGCTGGTAATTCATTCATATGCGATTAAGAAGAAATTTTGGGTTCTTTTGAATGATGATTTATTGTTGAATATGTGTTTGTGATCAGATTCAATTGAAGTTGGAATGGAGAAGTGGTTTTCCAAAGCTTCTTCTACTGTGTTGGCTAATATTGTGATTGATGGTCTAGATGATCTTGATGAGCTGGAAGTATGTTTGTTATATTGATCCATAATTGCGCGTTTTATATAAAGTTTTCGCTTGATTCTTGAAAGTATCTGATTAATATACGACAGGTTTATCCTTCAACCATTCCGGATGTTTGTTTTGAAAGACCATTGATGATATCTGGGCGGTACAAGGGTGGTTTTCCTGACACGGTGAAAATTAGGGGCGTTCTTGCTGACATGAGTAACTTCACTATGAACCTACAAGTACAACAGACAAAGGACATACCTCTTGACAAGGTATATGCTATAGCTTTGACAAATTTAGCTGTTAGCAATTAAACTAGTCATTTGGTAAAAAAAACAGCTGATAAGCTAAAGAGTAAAATTCAATTTTTGTGCCTTGTGGTTTTTTAACAAACTACAATTTTTGTCCCTATGGTTTAGAAATTACGGTTTTCATCCCTATTGTTTGCAATTTTTGTCCTTATTATATATAATTTATTGTTGGTTTGGTCCCTGTGGTTTACAATTCTTTGCTTTTTTTGTCCCTTGTACTTAAAGGAAGGAGTTAGGTTCAGGGACTAAAATAGCAAATATTTGCAAACCATAGGGATGAAAATAGTAAAGTTTAAACTACAGGGACAAAAATCATCATTTTTAACAAACCACAGAGACCAAAAGCGTATTTACTTTAAGCTAAATGACAATGTAAAATGAATAGAAATGACATGGTAGGAAAGATATGAAAGGCATGGTGGAAGTTTAAACAAGAATATCTCCATTTTATTAAAACACGATAACACTCTTATCACGTGTGATAATACATATGAGCGGACCTGATGGTGTGCAGACAACAATGTCATGCAACCTAAGCGCACCAAAGGTCGTTTGCATCTTTGATTTAGTATCACATCAAAACATCTTTATCACATGTGAAATACACGTGAGAGGGCTTTATTGGCCTGCAACCACCTAGGTCGCGTCAAGGGTCGACCGCGTCTCTGATTTAGTATCACGTGCGTATCCCATATGTTATGGAATATAGCATCACATCCGTTATGTGACATTTGTTACCTTATCTATCTAATTCATGCATCTTCTAGTTCTCTAATTTCATTTTACTTTCATTTTACCAAAAAGGTCCTGGCAAAGAAACATATTGAATTATACACAGCGCAGGCATGGTTTTCTCAAGATAAAGAGCTTGAAGAGAAGGTCAGTGACTTCTCTTTCCCCTTGGCCCTTTCCCCATAAAAAATTAACTTCTTAGACTCTTAGGGGAATGAAAGAGAAAAAGACGCTTAACAACAATACATTTTGATGCTGTTACCTGAAAATGTCGGTAAGGGCGGTGACTGTTGCCAGTAACGGCCCCTTAGTTTGAATTTGCTTCCAAAATATATGAACGGTTATGGCCGTATCATATGTTGTTCTATTTCATGGTAATATTTGCTTTTCATCAACACAACATTGTCTTATGGCAGGTAAAAAAACTCAGTTTAGAAACTGGTACTGTGTCAGAATATACACATATGATCTTGTTCAAGACAGAACTGCAAGATAAGCCAAGAAAACAGGCAAGCTCACATTTTTTATTTGTTTTCACAGTTCTACCGTTTAGGGTAAAGTACAGGTCTACATATATCCCACTCCCAGATCCTATTACAGGCCAGATCTTTGAATGGGCCGTGGTTCACATGTTACGATTCAAGATTGAACGAATTCATGTGAAATGCGTATGCAGGGAAAAAAGGAAGGCGATCCAAAGAAAATGGAAGCTGTAAAATTAACGCAACAGGTTAAAGTGTTGCATCACCTGGGGCTCGGGTTTGGCAGCGTGAGGGCAACGGTTGAAAACATCCCTCCAGGTTTTGGACCGAGGTTACATAGCCAAACGGAAAAGATTGCGATAGCGGCTGGTAACTGTTGCTCAGATGCGTGTGGCAAGTGTTGTTGTATGTGTTGCATTCAATCTTGTTCACAAGTCAGCAACCAATGTTCGGTCGTGTTGACCCAGATGTGTGGTCTCCTAACATGTTTCGGCTGCAGCAGCTGCTGTGAGTAAACCTGATTTAAGATTAACTTTCGTATACCCACGAATCGATCTGAGATGTTGAAGCTAAAATATATGGTGTGCTTTATGAAAAAAGCAGATGCTTAACACGGCATTGTAAAAAAGAATGTAAATAGTCATCGATATTGTAATAGTGAAATCGTACGACAATGAAATTGATGAAAGCGTTCTCTAGTGCTATTTCTCTCTTTGTCGGAAACTGCCACAAGCAATTAATCGTTTATATAAAACGTAGTTTCCACATCATGAACGGACATCCAAATAAAGCCAGACCAAAGATGCCTGGTATATTCCACTCAAAAGTAGGGTCTGCACAAGGGTTGAGAGTTGCAAAGGAAAAGGCAAAGATTGGAAGTTCCACCAATGCAATGGGTAAAGGGAAGATTCCCGAAGATGCAGTTTGCTTCAACTGCAACGAAAAAGGGCATTTGGATGAGAAACTACCCCACCCTTCTGGCAGCGAAAAACCTTGATAATTCTCCGATTCTCCCAGACACCCTCACTTCGAAAATAACTCGAGTGCATGCTTGGATTCCTCATGTGTCACTTCGGAGTTCCAACTCTTGCAACTTGTTCATTTTTCTCGATTCTTACTTCAAGCTTTTCATTGTTGTCATCAGATGTCACTCTTTTAACATCTTGTTCGTATTCATCAACTTCGACTTCCGATTTCTTATCATCATCATCATCACCAACCGATAAATGGTGGATGGTCTCTTGAATCTTTGTCATGCCCTTCCCCACAGGTCCGATTGCTTGATTTATAGTCAGTTTAACATCCTCAACAACCTACAACCCAGCATGAGCAAGTACAAGTTTTTGGTGAAGATGGTCCCTTTTTTGTGGGAGATTTAGAATAACAGATATGCACAGAACTTACATGTTGACCACCTTCAACGACGATATCCTGAACACTTTGTCTGACACTTGTTCCGGGAGCCTCAACCTTTGTCTCTGTCTTTTCAATCACAGCGGAGTTTTCCTCGTTGGATTCCTCTACTTTCACTTCTTTGGTTGTTTCGGAGGATAGTTCACCATATTGAGATGCAGACAGAAAATGATAGGGCTTTGCTGAGAACACAAAAACATGAGCAGCTGCTGCAATGGCCATCTGTCGGAAGCAAACATAAAAATCTAGCTGAGTATAGAGATCACACTATCGGAAATTGAAATATTGAGCTGTGTAGTAAACAATACCACCAAAAAGGTTAAAAATGAATTAGAAATAAAAAACACGACTGTTTGGTAGTAGCTTAATGATATAAAAAGTGGTTTATTTAGTAAGCTTCTAGGTGGGAGCTTTATGCAAAAAACCAAGTTTTTTTCCAAAACCTCCCCTCCCAGTTAAACACATCCCCTTCCATCTATAAAAAACCCACTCAAACAAAAACCTTCTCATCTATAGAGACAGATTAATTAACATAAAGACAATTTATCCATCTTAATGATTTTAAGACGTGGTTTATATCTGCATAATCTATGTTAAGTAGTCAATACGACTCGAATTATAGTAAAGAAGCCTCACTTCAATACAGATCAAAAAGTCCTGCAATGCGGTCTGAAATCTTCCTTGATTAGGCAGAACTTCAAGGTAGCATAACAACGCAATGCCCACACCTTGCCACCAAGTTGCGAACACGATGGCCTTAAAACTAATGAATTTTGCAAGGGGCCTTATTGGTTTTAGTCTTTCGTGAGTCACATGGTAGAACTTCACGAGGCAATATAACGCCCACATCTGGCTGAAGTTAATTACAACAGCAATATAGGGGTACCTGCATCAACAATTTTATATACAATAGTTAAAAAGCACTGCTAGCAGCTTAATGACCTTAATGGAACTTACAGCTTATTCGGTCAGCTATACAAGACTGTTTGATAGTGGCTTAATGATATAGAAAGTGACTTATTCAGTAACCTTGTAGGGGGAGCTTTATGCAGAAAACCAAGTTTTCTACGACCCGTCTCTCAATTAAAAAACACGCTCCTATCTATCAAAAAACCTTCCAAACAAAAACCTTCCCAATCTGTATACAGATTAATCCACACACATAACTTTATCCTACAAGGCTTAATGGAAAACCAACCAAACATCCCCTGAATGTGAAAACAACTCTAGAGAAGTCTCCAATTGCATCAACAATGCATGTATGTTGCTGCAGGGGCAGGTTCAAATGAAAACCGTAAATTTTTTGAGAACCTGGGAACCAACTATTCATGTTTTATTCCTAATGAATATCGTGATAGATATTCATGATGAAAATACAATACAAAAATGCATGATGTCATGAATAATACATGAAAGAATTGGCTCCCAATTCTCAAAATATTTTGAAATTTCCTCTAATGCGGTATTTTGAGATTTTAATCATGAAAAATCGTCAAATACATACCCATAGTACCACTTGAACTCACCATCACCGTATACACCGAAAAGCGCCAATACCGTTGCCAAAAATGAACAAAAGCTCTTCAAAATCATCTGAATGATGCATAGAAGGAAAAAAAATATTAGTTATGTTACACACATATGTACCAAAGACAGTTTTGTAACTCACGTATTGCACTAGTCCAAATTTCTCTATTTGTAACAATTCTTCCCCAAGGATATGTGGTCTTCGGAAGAATTTGCATATTGCTGTTCGATTTAAATCCGGTTTCACATCCTTCCCGTCTAGCAAAGGCTTGTTCAGCAGTTTTTCTTTCTCACTTTCAAGTAATTCAACAACTCTTCTTTCGCCACCTAAGATTAAAAAGTATTCCAAGACTAAATGGTATTGTTTACATGTAAGGCACTACGAAGAAGTATATTCTACAGTAGACTTGAATTTTAGTGACTCAAAAACTAAAAACAATGATAATATCGGCAGGCTGAATCCGACTCTATGAAGATTTTTTTAATGTTACTGATTTCTCATCTACTGTTTCAGCCGATAAACATAAGTTCCAGCTTCAAAGAGATTTTAGACACACAAAGATTAAATAGATGATACATATATACACATGTACATAGGGTCAGGTTCAGGGGAAAACCACAAAAAATGAAAAACTGAGTAACACCCTGAAAACCATTCATCTTGAAGATATGCACACGTGCATACAAATAATTTTCCTGTATGCACATATGTATAACATGGACACGTCCATAGAAACCAAGAAACAACTTCAATTACTTGTATGCACATGTGCATACTATACAGATGAATAGTTACCAAGGTTAACCTCAGTTTTTCATTTTTTGGGGGTTTTCCCCTAAACCTCCGTCTCTCTCTCTCTCTCTCTCTCTCTCT